CCTTCTTTTCCCTTCTTTACTCATACTGCCCGTAGTACCCCCCCAACCAAGAGGCGTGTGATCTGTTTCCCTCCGTTCTGTACGTACTCTCTCCCACTCCCCTTGTTTTCCTCCTTGTGAATCCAACGGGTTACTTATAAACTTAAGCTCCAGCCATCCATCATTTCCAGCCTCGCTCCGTCTGGTATTATTCACTCCTCATACTTCTATTTACTTTACTACGAGACTCTCTCCTCTCACAAAGTTGTTTCCAATTTTGGGCTGATCATTGACGGATATAACATCCGTTCTTGTGTTGTGTATTCAGTTACCCTTTCCGTCTGCTTCATCGTTGCCCCTTGGCTCTGGCTCTGGCTCTGGCTTGTCTACTGGATTCCTCGGCAACCTACATTATCTAAACAACAACAATCACCACTTGTGCCAGATCTTTCCTTATTCTTCTGTGCCATACATGAACTTGATACCAAACGTCCAACTACTCTGCTTCCTTACTACCAAGACTTGCAGAATTGACACCGCCATAATCAATCAGCTCCTTGTTCCCTTCGCTACCACTACCGGACCCCTGTCTTTTTTTCAGGAACACGCACGCAACAGACCACGAGAAACCCATCAGTCTCGTGTTCTAAAAAGCGGAGGCGATTTTGAGCCATCAATCCCTTCGTTCGGTCTCCTCGAGTCCAGACAAGCTCCGCGACTAGCCATCCCGCTATTTGGGTCCGCCTCGTTTCCCTTCGGAGCTGCAACCATATCTAGGCGCATCAAGTCGCCCAGTCTGATCTGATCAGTAGCTGTGTTCTACTGATATCACTGCCACTGTCAACATTACCAAGAGCAGTTCCCAATTCCTGTCGCAATGACAATGCACGCAATCAACGCCGCTGGTCGACGAGTTTCACTCCTTAACGACGAATCTGCTTCCCAACAACAACAGCAGCAGCAGCCGCCCACGCAACGACCACCTCTCAGCTTCCATTCTCACTCCAGCTATGCCTTCACTCAATCATACCCCACCCCAGGCAGTACTTCTTCTTCGCCAAACACTCCCGAACTTCTTCGTTCCGACTCTTATGACTCTCAAATGAGCAACGATCCTCTTTCTCCTCTGACTCCCAACGTCGACTACTACCCTCGACAACAGGTCATGTACACAATTCCTCAGGACTACAACATGGAGGCGAAGCATGCCCAATACGCCGACAGCACCCGTTCAGCTTCCTACGACGCTGAGATGGTCAGCCAGCCCCGATCCTCGCCTATGCCCGAGCGCCCCGGAAAGAGGTATCCCTGCAGGTACCGCGACACTCATGGCTGCGAAAAGACCTTCACCACCTCAGGTCATGCCTCGCGCCATTCAAAGATTCATACTGCAGAGAAGGCTGTTCAATGTACCTTTGCAGGATGCCAGAAGAAGTTCACTCGCGCCGACAACATGAAGCAACATCTCGAAACCCACTTCAAGGATAAGAGTCGCTCTTCTACCAGCCAGCGCAGTCACAGGACATCCCTAGCTGACGCTCGTCGTAACTCTACATCCGGGCGCCCTTCCGCAAGCCGCACATCCTCGTCCAGGAGCCGACGCGACGCTGATCCTTATCCCCTTCCCACGCCCCCACTGGCCTCACCCAGTGTCAACAGTGGATCTTGGGATTTGGGTGGCCGCAACTTGCCCATTCTCAACCGCCCTGTTGCTGGCAGGACACCTAGCGGTCTGGATGCCCTCGCTATGGCCGTGGCATGCCAGGAGGGTTCCGGTGTCTGAAGTGAATAATGCTGGATCTCTCACCCCTGGCATTCTCTTCCTTCTAAAAAAGATTTTTTTCTCGGGCATTACTTTATTGATAATCTTAATCCTCTGACAAGTCCTATCTCTACACACAAATCACTCCACCCGTCGACTCGATCTTTGGGGCACAACCTACTCCCCTCATGACTCCCCCAACCCACACACAGACATTGGTGCATTTTTATTCTGTTCAATTGATTGTTTCCATCACGGCGTTGTATGAACACACGAGGAGCAACCCGGATCCCAAGGCGTTATCCGTTTGGATGGGTTTGTTTTATTTTCTTACTTTTTATTTATTCATCATTTATTTAAAAGGTGTCTGGGATTGGACGGTGTCGCGAGTATACGATTGGCTACACGGATGGTTCTCCCCATAAAGGGCACGCGGTTTAGATAAACGACGACAGGAGGTGCCCTCTTGGAGTTTCAAACCCGAGGGCGAAAAAACGCATGGCGTTGGCGGGGTTTTCACGATTTGATGTTTCCAACTTTTGTTCAACTATAAGATTTTCACAGGGATAGGCCCATTCGAGGGCCGTATCGGGCATCTCTAGGGGCATGGGTGGTGGAAGAACTCGAGACAGCGGCATAGTACACACTTGGTCGCTGCCCCTTGCGGCTGTATTTAGACGGCAGTGAGGCAGTTTCATGTGTGGTGCTTCCATTTTGGATTCAACACACGAACTGTATACAATTGATACCATTTCCAAAATTTTATACTCATCTTCTCCCCAAGAACTTTTGTAATATCAGCCAATGTGAAGGGAAAGAATACATTTATTTACAATGGTGTAATACAAATTCTTCCTATCATCGGCATAATTAACGATGACTTGCTGTTCCATTCGACATCAAGTCTATGGGCTCATTACTGCCATACCTTGTGAGCTTGTCGCCTCAGTACCTATTCAAGCTAATATAGATCAATATCCTATGAGACTCTGCTTTGCCAAGGGACAAACAGATATCCACTTTGTAGCACTCGTTTATGGTATACTCTTGGTAACCAATGAGCTGATGGTCGGCAGGTAACTCGATTGATTTCACGCGCTTCTGAGTTTTGTCACATGGGAATGTTCTGACAAGCCTGAGACACTTCAAAAACATACATGTCAACCACGTTACACATGACAAGTAAAAATCTAATTTCTTTTATATATGTGTGTATGCTTTGATCATCTAATCATTCGATGTCGTTACTCAACTAATTGTCATCATGCATCATAGTTCTCGTACCACGTGCGATTCCCTATTCCCATATATCCTCCTTTTCTGCACATAATCTGGCCATCTCCAGCTGCTCGTCTGTCTGACAGACGAGCACCCGCTGCCTGGCATCGCGTTTGCCGAGTTCCTGGACCACATCCTTGATAGGTTCCTGATTACTAGCATCATCGAGGGCAAAGCCTAAGCAGGCAACCCTCTCGACGACGGCAGATCGAAGCTTAGCGCTGTGCTCTCCAATGCCGCCAGCGAAAACCAAAGCATCGACACGGCCCTCGAGGGTTACAAAGTAAGAGCCGACAAAGCCGGCAATGCGATCGACAAAGATTTCAAAGGCCAGGCGGTGGGTGGGCTCGTCTGACTCGGCAACTACGCCAAAGTTGGTCGTGCCCGTCATGGACTTCCAGCCGCTCTCCTTATTGAGGATCTCCTCAGCCCTTGAAATGTGAAGATGTTTGGTGGATGCAGGGGAGAGTTTCCCCACATCGGAGGCATAGTGGAAGACAAGACTGCAAAGGTTGGCAAGGGTCAGCATGCAAGAACCTTAATTTAGAAGGGAAGACCCTGATCCCACCCCTCGGTTCCGGATCTCATGTATGATCTGATGAGAGTAGCATTCCGCTGCATCCGGTGGGGCATGGTTCTGGGTTCTGGGCCCTAGGCCCTGGGCTAAGGGTGTTTTTGAGGGATTGAGCGCCTTACCTAGGATCAACACTGCCGCTTCGAGTCGCTCCAGGAAGGCCCGCCAAAGGTGTAAGCCCCATACTCGTATCCCAACTCTTGCCGCCCTTGATGGCGCAGGCGCTGGCACCGCTACCGAGGTGCAAAGCGATCATGTTTAAGCTGCCGACGTCTTTTTCAAGATAATGTGCCACGGCTCTTGTGATGAATGCATAGCTGATCCCGTGAAATCCGTACTTGCGTAGGCGATTGCTTTTCGCGATCTTTGGGTCGATGGGGTAGGTGTAGATGTGTGGAGGGATAGTTGTATGGAACTGTGAGTCGAAACAGGCGACGTTGATGGTCTTGGGTAGCGCGCTGATGCAAGTGTCGACGATGCTCAAGGCGACACCATTGTGAAGTGGTGCTAGGTCGCTGAGCTCTTCAAGGTGGTGATAGGCATCTTGGGTAATGACTTGCGACCGATCATAGTCCCCGCCATGAACAATGCGATGGCTGGCGATGGCAATATCCTCCTTTGAAGAGATCTCCTTGAGTTCAGTGTCATCAGTGAATGTCTTTAGGAGAAGGTCGAAAGCATCCTCTTGATTCTTGACACTTTCGGCGACCTCTTTCGCCTTGACCACCTTCTCACCGCGACGCGTATAAGCAAGCGTTGCTGGCGGAGCAGTCAATCCACCGATTGAGGCCTCTGCGATTTGACGAGGTTCTGCGTTCTTATCTGCAGTATAGACTGAGATCTTGACCGAGCTAGAGCCGGCATTGATGGCGAGAATGACCTTCATGACCGATGGCGCGACGCTGAAGGGATCAATGTTTTGGTGTTGAGTGTGTATCAGGAACGGGGGAGCAGTGGCAGCAGAACTGGGCGATGGATGCTAGGGGAGAAGGGAGCTTGAGTTGAGTTTATCAACTTTCCATTCATGACGGGTTGTGCATCTCAATGACGACACAGCTCCATGGTACGATCCAGGCACCGCGGGGGGTCTTCAGAGACGGTGTGGGGGCGCCCCGAGCATTTCCCCGTTGTCTGCCCACGGATAGCGACATAAGGTATACAGCCTGATAACCTCTGTTTGACGTCCTGGCCAATCCCCTACGGGCGGCTGCTGATTATCGCCTTTTTGGGCGGCGTTTGATGAGCGCTTTCATTTCTGACAGGTGAAAGGGTGTGGGCTGTCAACGTCAAACCTTGCAACTACTGTCACCCCACTTGGACACGCACTGCAGCACGAGCATGTGGCTCGTCTCAGTGGTGCAACTGGTCGAGGATACTGATATGGCATCTGACTCGGAATTGACCTTTTCAAGGCGTAGCTTCGGCCGCATCCGAGGGCTCTGGCACCGATTCGAGCATGTGGTTCGGCCATCCTGACACCGGCAAATCGGGAGAATGTCCCGGCAAAATCTGCGGCGAGGGCAATTCGAAGTGGTTTGGTGGAAATGGGATGCCGTTGAATTCGCGGTCCGAACTGTGGCAATAAAGCCAGGTCTCGATAAATCGTCGGTATGCTGGTCTGACTGTTAGCTGACATGTCTGGAGATAGATTTGGAGATTCGGCCAGGGCAGCCGTTGCTCCTACGAGGGGAGCCCTCTATTTTGGGGTTTTTTTTTTCCTAACCTTGACGCTCAGTGAACTGGATGGCCAGATATCGTATGTCGAGAGTCGGCTGCTGCAATGATCTTGGCTCGGAGGAGTCATTCGTTCTGGTTCGAGATCGCATACGATGCGGCAGTGAAAAGCGTCGGTGTGAGTGCTGGTCGTCGCCCGAAGTCTGCCGCCTGCCAGACGCATTGAGTCGAAGCTGTTTTGCGCGGTCGTCCCTCCCGCGCAGTTCCCCGTCGAACGAGTGAATATCATACTCTCGGTATTGGCCATCCGTCTTATTCGCACACACGCTGAGGGAGTGGAAAGTCGTATATCGATCCCTCCACAGCTTGAGTCTCTGGATCGCACCGATCCCCTTCACCTTGCCGAAGCCATCTGTGCGACCATGGACGTTTGTCCAAACGACGTCGACGTCATAGAAATCAACTAGGTCCTTTCTGCGCAAATCTCCCTGAAATTGAATAGAGCTCTCGACTGTCGTGAACTCGTATCTGATCGTGACGTACTGGTCATGTATACAAACACCCTCGTCCGTTGTGTACCGAATCCGGTGAGGTTCCTGAAACGTGAGATATCTTTCCATGTCCGAAGGGTCATAGTACGGGCGATGGCGCGAGTGGAGGGTATGAGGATATATGTCGGAGGGTGTGTCGGAGGGCACTGAGAGTGAAGTGAGTTAGCTGACGTTGGATGTGGAAAGCAGCAGCCCAAGTCTACATACAGAAGTGTTCGAGCAATTCGTTCTGGTAGCTACCCTGCCACAGAACACGGCGCTGCTCAGAGCCCACCACTTCCCAAGGCCCCAAGTAAACGACTCGTTCGTCAGGAGTATCTTGAAAAAGGATTCTAGATGTATCCCAGTGTCAGCCAGATGAAACGCCATTCATATCAACCGCGGGCCGGGAGAATCGCACATTGTTGCCTGGAAACCCGGGGGTCCCAAATCGAGTACCGAGGTCCCAGTTCCCGACCCCTCGGTGGTCGGAGCAGAAATGGTTGATATGCCGGAGGTGGGAGTCCAGGTTGAATCAACCGGACTGACGTATGTTCGTCCGTATGTTGGCGGGCGACCGAGCGACGAGGAAGTAAAGGACGAGCCCGAGGACGACATGCTGTCGCTGGTAGCAGTCGAGGGCGATCTGGCTGACCGAGCGGTGGGGACATGTCATGACACGGTCACAACGGCGCAGGAGGTGCGAGTGGTCTCTGCTGGCGCCTTCTTGAAGATCCCAGTGACCAGCCCTAAAGCCGCCGTTGGCACGCTCTGGCTTGAACTTGGGCAACGAACGGTCAGGTCTGCTGCGTGGAAGCCTGTGTTGACAGAGGAATGGCGGCTCGGCAGGCTCTTGGCTGTCGAGGCCCTGATATCGCCAATGCCTGGGCCGGCGCAAAGGCAGAATCTCAACAATAGGGCAGCGATACAACGTGGAGGCACCGAGCAAGGTATGTACACTCAGTCGGGATAGACTTCAAGCACTAGATTGGCAAGGGTAGCTCCGGAAGCCGCTGGTGCATTCGTCTGCCCCTCTGATACGACAGCAGGAAACTAGACCTTGGGAGTTCCAGTAATGTATCTGTATCTTTATCCGTACGTATGTACGTGTACAGTGAATGGTGTGCTTGATGGGCGCCAGGAGCCGAAGATGCCAACCTTGGATGAGGTAAAGTTGGAGCTCACGTACGTGGAGATATCGCACCGAAGCTGTTGCAACAGCAGTATGTATGTAGAGGGCAAAGCAGGACAGACTCAGACTCAGACTCAGACCAGACCAGCCCAAGATAGGACAGGAGAGAAATCAAAGTTCAAGGCGACTTCCTAGAAGATTTAGAGCTAAGCAAGTATGTCTGTTTTTTTATGTTTTTTTGGTTGTTCGTCCCATGAACAAGCTGCAGGCCAGCATCATCCATCGCAAATCGTGCTGGGAGCGAGAAGAAGAAGAAAAAGTAGATAGACGAGCGCGGTGAATTTCCACGGATAGTCGACTCAATGAGGGGCCTACAATGTTTGGGCCCGCATCAAATTCGCCAGGAGGACGGATACCTATACATTAGTGCCTAGGCAGGTAAGGCTAGCCATACACAGACAGGCACGCTGCACGCTGCCTGTTGCAAAGCCGTCAGTTGTTGGCAACTTAGGTACGCAACAATAGAGGAGCTGCGTCGACAGAAGTCGTCCCCAGAAACTCCAAGCCCGAGCAAAATGAATGTCGTTGCGTTGTGCAATCGACAGCCAAGGGTCGACGCCACATGGGCAGAAGCTTGTCTTCCATTGGTGGTCCACTAACAGCGGGAGCACGGCGCACGGGGGTCCATGGGACATTCTGATGGGCTAGCTAACACGGCCAAGAAAGCTAGGGTCCATGTCGTGGGCATTGGAGCTAGGCCAGGCTCCGGCTAGCAATTCCGATTGTCTGGGCCCGTCAGTCTTGTTTGATATGGATGGATGGATGGATGGATGTCACCAGAATGTGGAATTGATCGCATGTTTATGACTTGCCAATTGAAATAGTTATGAGTCTCGTTGGTATCACGAATACGGACGCATCTTGGCCGGGCAGAGCCGCGTGCTACTACTGTATACCTCATCACCCCGACTGGCGTTGGAGCCATCCAATGGATGGATATTCTTAGGTAGTTACGGAGTACTCTGGACGTGACGGCATCGCTTGTGGGTTTTTTGCACAGTAATAGAGATACATGCTTCGATGATGGCCTGGTAAAGACTGGAAGAGCCAAGTGTCATTCGGCACGCTCAGTGATCCTTCAATTGCAGTCGGGTTTGAAAGTCGTTTCGTGGTGCAAGTTTCAAAAAAGAACGGCTGGCATACGAGTTCCCGATATGCTCATCAAGTTAAACGACTTGGGAATCGCCATTTGCCCTGTTATATTCGGAGAATGGCCAGCTCCCCACGATATAAAGATATCCTTACTTACTCTTTGAGTTGAGACAAATCATATCAAGACGGTTAAGACTATGGATTCGTGCAATAACGGCTTAGATCTTCTGTGCTGAGGGTCGCAACGTCGATCTCCTGCATTCCCTGAACCATGGAATTGGGTTGCAGTACTCGGACCCAGGTTGAATTCAGCGAGGCACTAACTAGGTAGTCAAGGTACAGCATGAATACCCCGTATGTAAAGTCAAGCAAGGTAAAGTATAGATACTTAGGCAGGTAGTTGGAATACAGCGCCGTCTCCCTTGAAGTGCATCTGTCATCAGCAACAGCAACAGCAACAGCAACAGCAACAGTAACTGACGCTACCGAACCGCTTCTTCTTGACCTTAACGTGCATGATAAGCGAGTGCTCCAGACAAGCGAGTGCTCCAAAAATCCCTCAACCTACACTATCACTTTTCAATCAGATATTTCTCAACAATCCAATATGCCAGAGTCTCCAAATGAAGCTAAGATTATTCTTGCCCTTCAGGCCCTCCAGAATGACCCAAAATTAAGTCTTAGAAAGGCCGCAGCTATATATCATGTTGACCGCTTTGCCTTAAGTCGCCGCCAGCA